TAACACTCTTTCCTGGCCGGGGGCCGCCTTCTTTGATCAGGATGTGCTCATGGAGCTCCTGGAACAGTGTGCAGACGGACTCTGGAAGGCCGAGCGCTATGAGCTGATCGCCGACATTTATAAGCTCATCATACCCATTTACGAGAAGCGGAGGGATTTTGAGGTATCTGAGTGGTTTGTTTTCTCCCGTTTGAGAGGACAGTGGAGTGACACACGTCCCCAGACATTCTTAAATGCAGAAAGCGCAAGCAGGCCATTTGAGCAATGACCTCTGACCTGCCATGTGACACTGGCGGTCGCCACCCTCAGAGCCGCCAGGTGTCACACTTCTACCCAGACCTCAAATCTCAAAACGACAAGGGTTGGGAATTCTGGCACTCCACCTATGTGGGAAAACAGTGACCCTTTCATCCTTCCTGGGCTGGGGAGGCCATCCAGTTTCTCTTAGCTAAGGAATGGAGTAGGAAAAGCAAAGACTGCAAACGTCATCAGAGGACTGAATTGGCTTACTGCACTGGAAATCCAGTGGGTCTTCAATATGCAGGATGGCCCTTTGGGTAGAAAACAAAACAGTTGGATAATGATCACTACCAGTTGTGCTGTCAAAATTCATTCTTGATTTTTTTTTGAAACTCAAGTCCAACGAATTTTCACCTATATAGTATCATTTCATTGTTATTTTAAAATAATTCTACTAGTTGCAAGTGGGAAGAAATCGGGTTTGTTCTGCTTTCCAGAGGCTGGCCCATCTGTATGACACACTGCACCGAGCCTACAGCAAGGTGACCGAGGTCATGCACTCAGGCCGAAGGCTTCTGGGGACGTACTTCCGAGTAGCCTTCTTTGGACAGGTGAGCCTCCTCTCTGTTCTCTAGGCCGTCCCAAGTCCTTTTTTTCTTGTTTAAACTCTATATACAAAGTGGTATTTTGTAAATTTTCTGTTTTCTAGAAATGCTAATTTGATGAATTTGTCATGTTTAGTATGGTTCTTATCTTCCTCAGTAGTAAACTTTCTGCCTTTTTTTTTTCTTCCTGTCTTTTCTTTATTACTTTCTTAAGGCAGCGGTAAGTTCTCCTTCCATAAGATATTCTTAGCGGCATCTTTGGTACCTCAGTGTGGTTTGCAAGTTTCCTTTTCAAGTCTGTATGTATATCTGTTCAGTCATTACAAACTCCAGAACAAAATTAACATTTTATTCCATTTACAGAAATAAATCACCTGTTCCCTTACACGTCTATACTGCATGTTTTAAACCAAAATTAAGACTTTCTGGTTTCCTTTGTCCCTGTGCTTCTCTATCTTTTATAATACAATATCTCTGCAAGTAGATTTACCATTGTAATATTTCAGAAACCCTTTAGAAAAGGGGTCATTTAAATTTAACTGAAAGTTTAACCTCCGAGTCTCTAACACGATTAAATAGTATAAGTTACAATCCATTTATTCAGAGTGTGTGGTTTTCTGTGAGCATTATATAACCTTCAATTTATCCTGTTATTTATTGTCTTTTATAACTTTATAGCAATACCAGTTTACAGACAGTGAAACAGATGTGGAGGTAATTATAGTAAATGCATAAAAAGCAAGTAATGTAGTGAAATTACTGCATCTAAACTCCTAGTTTGATGTGGGTGTTTTTTGTTTCATGTTAGCCTGCATTTTTTCTTTTATATACTGTGTTTTTTGCACCATTTTCTCTCTTTCATTTTAGATGGGAAATTTTTTTTTTAATTTATTTCAAATATTAACCCCAATCTGGGCTTTTTAGTTTTCAACCTTTTTCACTTCCCATGCAATACTTAGCCTTCCTGTATCGACACATGATTGGTGCTAAAACAGATGATGACTGGTGATAATGAAAATATTTCCTGATCTTATGCTACAGCCCTTTAATATTTGTCTCATCAGGAAGACAAAATAGAATTTACACCAACTTCACATAACTTTTGCCAGACCAGAAAGCTTCCTTTTATGCCGTAAAATCCCAAGTAAACGGCAGAGATCAGGAGAAGGGATGTGTGTGTGTTTCTGAGGCCTGTGGATAGCAGGCTGTTGAGTCATGTCTTAGTGAGTTCTGCTCCTTGGGAATGTGAAACAGGCTTGAATCCCATGATTAGAACTTCACCGAGGGAACACAGTCTTGAATCCCCAATCTTTCATTTCCCTCAACACTTAACGACAGCATTCTTGGATGAGTTTGCAATTTTGTGTTTCGCCTTTACCTTGCACCCAGACCTCACATTATTATCATTTTCCTTCCTATTCGGAAAGCCTGATTTTGTTTTTAGAATCATTCCCTTTTTTGTTGTTGTTAACTCCTGTAGCAAAAGAATCCTTCCTGGGTGGTAAGCCTTGGGCTTATATTTGGGGATAGCTCTAATTGTGCTTTATGTCACAGGGATTCTTTGAAGATGAAGATGGAAAGGAGTATATCTACAAGGAACCCAAACTCACGCCTCTGTCAGAAATTTCTCAGAGACTCCTTAAACTTTACTCAGATAAATTTGGTTCTGAAAACGTCAAAATGATACAAGATTCTGGCAAGGTATGACTATGCTTGGAAACGTATTATAGCAATATAATATTGTTTTTTTATGTATGATTGATCATATATTACATATTTATAAATGTGGTAGAAAACAGAAGACCCAGGAAAAAGTCAGGAATGGTTGGCCCTGAGTGGCAGGTGTATTTTTTTTTCTTAATACCTTTCTGTGCATCCCAGGTGTCTTTCAAACCTTTAAGCAAACCTTTATTTCATAATTTTAAAGATATTATTTTACAAAATAATTAACATCTGAAAGGATATACTGTTTTTAGTCCCGCTATTCAGAAACTCTGTAAGAGTAGGGACCTAGGTTCTGTTTGTCGTTGTAGTTTTTCCTTGCACTTAGCACAGTGCCTGGCATGTTACTTGACACTCTGACTGATTGTTTGATATATGGACAGATGGATGGGCAGACAGAGAGACCAAGGAATGAACTAATTAGCCAGCACATTTGTAGGAATGAGATCTACTTTCTACTTAGAGAGGCTGTCCTCTGCTGTATTGCTCTCATGAAAACCCTTTCTGAACGTACACGTTTTTCCTATATGTTTATGTGTTCCACTGTCTTCAGGACATCTCCCGAGAGATGGGATCCCTTTGCTTCCGGAAACTCAGGCCAAGATAGAACTTCTGTTCTTTGCATTAAAAATGCTTCTCCTGCTCAGTTTCCAGCAGCAATAAGCTCTACCTTTTTCTCAGTTGATCCTTTTGGAGGATCCTTCGTTCATTTTTTTTTTTGCCCTGAGCCCTGCTTTGGAGTCCCCAGTGTCTGGAATCTCTTTCCTTGGGGCCCTTCATTTTCTCCAGGGAAGACTCTTCCAGTCTCCTGCCCAGGTGGTAGGGAGGGGACAAGGGAGGGGGGAATTCTGAATTCTGGAGGCAGGGGATTAGCAAGGATGCAGGTCCCACGTCCGGCTTGCAGTCTTTCGCCTGCCCTCCCTGCATCCTGCTCTGTTCCTTGCCCCTGCTTTCTGCTGAGACTGGTGAACCCACTTAGACTCTTTCCAGACCGGTTTCTCCAAGGAACGGTCTCTTCTGTCTTGTGGGGCTGGAACTAGGGAAGGGAACCCGGGGTTCTGCCACCTCCCATAGACTTTGGGCCACTTGCCACCCCACACGTCTCCTGGTCACCAAAATCCTGGTCCTGGTCCTCTACAGATGCCAGTCTGTTCAGGCTCCATAACAGATACCATAGACTGGGTGGCTTATAAACAACAGAAATTTATTTCTCACGGTTTTGGAGGCTGGGAAGTCCAAGGTCAAGGCACCGGCAGATTCGGTGTCAGGTGAGGTTCTTCTAACTGCTTCACAGACTGCTTGCTGTCTTACTGCCGGGTCCTCACGTGGAGGAAGGGGTGAAGGGGCCCTGTGGGGTCCCTTTTATAAGGGCACTAATCCCATTCATGAAGGCTCTACCCTCCTGACCTAATCACCTCCTGCCTCCTAATACCATCACATTGAAGGTTAATATTTCTGCATGAGAATTTTGGGGGAATGCAGACATTAAGTCTGTCACAGCAGGCTTTTGTGGGGTGATCTGACTCCCCTGTTGTTGCCCCTCTCCATGGGAACTTGGGTTAGAACTTTCTCTCCCAAGTCAGGAAGTACATCTACATGCGCCTGCCTTCCAGATATTCGTTAAATTCATCCACTGCTGTTCTGTCCTCTCTTCTTGGTCCTTGCTGGTTAATTCTATACTGTCATTTTAATAGAGTTGCGCAAAGGAAAAGGGACAGACGTACATTGTTGGTCCATTTTTAGCTAGAAACCTCAACACAACCTTATTAAGACCTACTTCCTTTCTAGACCAAATCACTCAGGTCCAACTTGCCTTTTTCTCTGAAACCAAAACCTTTGTCTGGGTCAGGTTGTGGCTTTAACCTTAACAGCCTTCTGTCAAGGTTCTCCCGCATTGGTTCTTCTTGCCCTTTTGATATGTGGTCCTTGATGCAGCAGCTGAAAGACGTCCCAGACCTTTTTCTCTTCCTCAAACACCAGTCAGTCCTTTATTCCTTCTGCTGATGCACACATACAAGTTTGAAGGTGAAAACTAGGGAAACACCACTGAAAACTAGGCAAGAATGGTCATTTCCTCTGCTTTTAAATTGTTTCTGCTAAAGAAAGTTAAGTCTAAGAGGTCTGAATACACTTATAGTGATTGGCCAGATGGCCTTTTCTAAAAGAAAAGTAACTCATGACGGTGTATTTTCTGAACTTGTAGAGTTTAAGGCACCTGCACACCTGTTTTTCATGTCTCTCCACAAACGTCTCTGTTAAGAGAACAGTGGTGCATGATAATTTGGGACCAGTAAACCCATCTTGATCTCAGTTGTTTGCCCTCATTCCAGGATCGTCTCCAAATTCTCTGTATGGTCATTTCTTTCATGTCCCCTTTTATTGCTCTAGAAGCTTAAAAACAATATGTGCAAAGTTGATTTGTCTCCCTAATAAATTAACTTTTGTTTTTGTCTGGAAAGTGCCTATGTTTAATTTTCTAGCACTTCACAGAAGTTAGAGCACCACGAGGTCTAGCCGTGTAGTTTTAAAAGCATTCATGTGCTGAGTCTGTCAGGAACTAAATTTATAATCTGAGCAGTCTTAGATTAGTCTGTACCTGTATTAAATTAATTCATCTACATCTGTCTATATCTAATCTATCTACAGATTAACTATGATTTGGGGGCCTAGGCTTTAAACATTATTAGTAAAATAAACATTTTTGTCTCTAAGCCCAATATGTAAAAATACGGCTTAGAAAATAATCAGAGGAATCCAGACGGGGAGTCATTCCACACAAAAACTAGCACGATGTCTTCAAAAAAGTCAAATGTCATGGGAAAAAAGTAGTCTAGATTAAACAAGACTGAGGAGACAAAACTAAATGTAAAATGCAGTCATTGATTAGATTCTGGTTCAAACACAAATAGCTATAAATAATATTCTGGGACACCTGAGGAATTCATCTCAACTTGGTATATTTGGCACTATTAGGAAATTAGTGTTAATTTTGTTACATATGATGATGTGTTGTGGTTATGGAGGAGCATATCCTCATGTTTAGGAGATGCTGGCTCAAGTGTCATGATGTGAACCACTTACTTTGAAACGCTTCAGCTAAAAAAAAAAGGCCACATATACATGTGCATGTGAATAGACACATATAAACAAATACAGCAAAGTATCAGCAGTTGTTCTCAGTGGTGGGTATGTGGGTGTTCATTGTACTATTTTTTTTCAAACTCTTCTGAAATTTCCCAAAACTTTTACTAATACGAAGTGGAAAAACACAGCTTCGGCACGCTTTGGAGGAGTCCTCTCAATAGCAATAGCAATATTCCATTTCCTTTATGCATTTAAAGGTCAACCCGAAGGATCTGGATTCCAAGTATGCATATATCCAGGTGACTCATGTGATCCCGTTCTTTGATGAGAAGGAATTGCAGGAAAGAAAGACAGAGTTTGAAAGATCTCACAACATCCGCCGCTTCATGTATGAGATGCCCTTCACCCAGACTGGGAAAAGGCAGGGAGGCGTCGAAGAGCAGTGCAAGCGGCGCACCATACTGACAGGTACAGTCTTCCCGGCCCCTTTCTTTAAGCATCTCACCCAGACATCAGCCCAGATGTCAAGATAAAGAGCCCTCCAGAAGGGGACCCAGAAGCATCTAGATTTGGAAGGGCCCTTCGAGCTTAGTTAACTTTCCTTACATATCCATTTCAGCTTAACGTGTATCTAATGCTCGCTTTCGAGTACTCGTGACATTTTTCTGTTTACCTGTTTGTATTTTATTCTTCCACCAGACCAGAAGTTCATATCCGATGTCAGGTAACTTACCCTTTTTAGAATCTGGTGAAAACAGCTCAGGATGCTTTTGCACACAATTTCAAGTGATTTTCAGACTCTCTAGACCCATGGCCGCCCCCCCAGGTCAAGAACCCCCGCACACAGTGCTGCATCTGTGTCATGGGAAGAGACCCCTTACACACCAGCATGAGCCTGCTCAGAGATTCTAGGTGGGGTGAATAAATGGGACTTGAGGCTGGACCCCACCCACCTAGTCTCTGAGTGGCTGGCCACCTTTAGCTTGGGCACCTCCAGTACCAGGAAGCTCACTGCATTCACAGGCTGCCCATTCAGCTGTGCCAGAGTTTTAATGGATCCTTTGGTACTGCTTAGCCATTGATCACCCACCCCCAGAACTATGCTGTGCATCATCTCCCTGTTCCTGACAAGTGTAGAGTCATCTTGGGAGTGATTTCTACCTTCTTTAGAGGAGCTTGACTCCATCGCTCTTAGGGTTAGGGTCAGCAAATGACTGGTAACCTGAAATCAAATGCTTTCTTGACTTAAAAAAAAATTGGTGAGGAGGATGTTGAGAATGCCAGTTGTGTCTATATCTGCTATTGAAGCCCATTTTTCAAAGAGTGGCCACACTTAAGTCGAACCTGGAAAGCACCCGCTGCTTGTCCAGCAGTCGACGCTGTCAAGTGTTCCACCTGGGCGGGAACAGGGATCACTGTAATAGTTGGTGAAAGGAGCGCTGTGAGGGTGGCGTGTTTCAGGTGAGGCTCCACCCTCGCCAGTGGACAGTACACTTTAAATGGGTGAACTGTGTGGTGTGTGATTTATGTCTCAGTAAAGCTGTTGCCAAGGAAAGAATAGGGTTCATTATGAAATAGCTCAGAACAGCATATTGCACAGGATTTTTCACCGTTCTTATGAGAGAACTGAGATAAAAATTAAAATACAAAAAAAAAACCCCAAAGCCCTACATTCTTAAAGAAGGAGTCTCTGCTCCTGCTTTTAGAATAATAAGATAACATGTAAGGCACAAACAATATTGGCCTCTAAAACGTTAGCCCCTCCCCATAGGTAAATGAATTGTTTTTCTAATGGACACAGTAGCAAATTCTTACTAAGCAAAATAACTGCATTTCTAGGTGGAGTCATTTGATGAGAATTACCAGCTTACCACGTTTATCTCTACGGCTGTGATGACCTCAAATCAGTGCTTATCAAAGGTTGTTCTCGGGAATATCAGCAGCATCAGCATCACCTGGGAACTTGTTAGAAATGCAGGTTCCTGGGCTCCACCCAGACCTTCTGGATCGAGGACTCTGGGGTGGGGCCCAGATGGTTGTGTTTAACCAAGCCTTCCAGGTGATTCTGGTGCCACTCAAGTTTGAGAACTGCTGATTTAAATAAACCTAGCTCACTGATGAGTCAAGGTCAGGATTTTTTATTATGATTATTCTGCTCAGGTAGCATACTGATTCATAAACAGTTACCATGAGGTGCTTTCCCTGGCCCGTTTCCCGTTTTGTCACAGAAATATTTTTGATTAGATAACGAGCTAGAGCAAAGCTCTGTACGTGCCAGAGCAGAGGGGACAAAGAGTAACCCCACTGCAGAGAGAAGCAAAGTAGACACCGGGGCTGTTGGCTTGGGAAATAACCACCTTGAGAAGGTGTGGGCAGTGCAGAGCCTGGGCCTGGGTCCTGTAGACCCAGTCACATCCTCACTGTGTGACCTTGGGCAGGTCACTTAACCTCTCTGCACCTTAGTTTTTCATCTGTAAAAAGAGATTTGTACTATCCATCTGGTGTCAGAGAATTTTGTAAGTTATGCCCAGGTGGGGAAAGAATGCACTTCATTTTGCCACATCTCACCCACCATTGAGCTCCTTGCCTTTTGAGGTTGGTGAGGAGTGAAAGGAGATTATAACACAACAGAGCACCAAAGAGGGGTGCAGTTTTTGTCCTGAAAGATTCTCAGAATTTCAGAAGGATAATTATTGGGTAGTGTGAAGATTTAGAGAAGGGGTTATAAAAATGCTATTAAGAGCCTATAAACTACATCCACCTTCAGTTAAAGACACACAGACCGGGATATTCTGAAGACCTTGAATTTGAGAGTTTTCCGTTGTGTTATCAATCCCTTGGGTTCTTCTTCCACTGCATTGCTTCAGAGCTGACCTTTGGCCTTCTAAGTTGTCGGGAAGCCCCTGCCCTCCCTGCCCTCTGAACCCAGACTGGCTCACTTTCCTGGATAGTTTAGTCAGTTAGCTGCAGTTGTGGAATCATTTGAAAAACCTAATGATTGCCCCCCTCGGTGTAAATTTCTGAGCCTGCCTCCCTACGTGATCTCCTCTGTTCCTTCTTTCGTGGAACTCATTCCATGGAGTTTCTTCCCGGTCACTGTTCCAGAGTCTTCCAAATCATGTCCGGACTCCTACTCAGGTTGGAAGTATCCTCCCGCCCCTCACCCTCTGTTCGGTCCAGCCAGACCGTACACCCACCCGCGCTTCTCAGCTGTCTCTCCCTCGTCCTCCTGCCTGAAGGGCTGCAGATCACTGGTATGGGCCGTTGATTAGTAACACGGTGGCTCACTCAGTCCACCACCTAATTTTCCACCTTCCAGGCCCGTTTGCTCTTTCATTTAGCCATTTGGGCAGTAACGCATTCTTCAGCTCAGCTAAATTCATTGAGCACAGGCAGTGTTCCAACTTGGCATATCAGCTAAACAGAGCTCTCTGGCTTGTGCAGCTTAGACTCTAGCAGGAGGAGGCAGATGATAAACAGTAAATATAATGGGTAAATGTATCTGTGTTGGAAGGTCATACACATTCTGGACAGAAGCAAAGGGGGCTGGAATTGTGGGGTTGGGGGCAGGGGGGCTGCAGTTTAATGGCATGGCCAGGGTAGGTTTCACTGACAGTCCAGACTTGAAGGAGTTGAGGGAGCGGGCCCTGCGCACGTCTGGAGGGAGAATGCCAGCAGACAGGTGTGGCTGGAGCTGAGTGAGCCCCAGTGAGAGGAGAGATGAGGCCCGCAAGGAAGGCGGGGGCCGGGGCAGTCCCAGACTGCGTGCACCGGGGAGGCTCACGCACAGACTGGAGTTTCCTGTATCATCACGCCCCTCCTTTGCCTCGTTGACTCTCCAGTTAACCATCTTAAGGAGCAGTGACTCAGGACTTATTTGGCTGAGTGAAATCAGCGCAATGTGCACATCTCACAGACACCATTGGAGTTGGTTTTTCGCTCTGAAATAACGGCGCTACTGCGCTGTGGCACTCAAAAACACTGTGATAACACTAATCACGTGTGTTTGGACATGGCTGTTAGCCTCATGAAACGTGTGTCCTGACAAGTGAGAACGCAGTGGCCCTCCCCTCTGTAAAGCGTGTCAGTCTATCACATGCGAGTTCACCTCTGGCCGGAGGACCGTGTTCTGTCTCCCTGGCTGATGAACAGCAGCATCTAGTTTTTGTCATGTATCAAAGGAGCCTTCGGTCCGAAGAGGACTTATCAATCCCAGGGTTGCCACTTAAAAACTCTGTGTCCACAAGGAACACAGAAGAAATAGTAGACACAGACCCTTGGCCTTAGATTAATAAAGCATGTAGCGACTAGAACAGGCCTGTTGTTAAGTGTGTGACAAACAAGGTTGCATCACGTTGAATGTCTTTTCCAGCCTTGTTCAGACTCTGGGTAACCCGAGGGAACTCTGTGTTTTGCAGGGAGCCGGGCTTTCTCATTTTGTGATCAGTCCTTTCTGAGTAAACCCTCCCCAGCCACTTAGTAAATAGTAAAGAATCCAAACATAACACTTCCATCTTACTTTAGCTTGTTAAAAAATAAGCTTTTAAGCATATATCTACCTGTCTATTCATAAATATATATTAAATAAGAATATTATAGATTTTTACATATACCATACAAGCAGTAAGGTAGAAGTGCAAAACAGTACCGAATTGGAACCAGTTATTTTTCTGTTCTTTTTTTTTATATATAAATTTATTTTATTTTATGTATTTATTTTTGGCTGCATTGGGTCTTTCTTGTGGTACGCAGCCTTCTCATTGCGGTGGCTTCTCTTGTTGCGGAGCATGGGCTCCAGGTGCACGGGCTCAGTAGTTGTGGCTCGCAGGCTCTAGAGCTCAGGCTCAGTAGTTGTGGCGCACGGGCTTAGTTGCTCCACAGCATGTGGGATCTTCCCAGACCAGGGCTCGAACCCATGTACCCTGCGTTGGTAGGCAGATTCTTAACCACTGTGCCTCCGGGAAAACCTTTCTGTTCTTCTTTAAATGAACTCTTTGGTGTTGATATGTTCAGGTGTCTTATTATAAGAAAGGAAAACAATATCGAGTGGTGCCTTTTTTGGTAAAAAAAAAAAAAAAAAAAAAAAGTGAGAAAAATTAAATATTTTTATTTAATGTTTTTGAATCATTTAAAAGTTTTTAAATATCTTTATTATTATGCAACTCAAAGAGTTTGAATTTCTGCTTCATAAAATACTTTGCTTGGAAATATATTCTCATGTTATTTTTCATTGATTTCTCTGGCTGTACAAACTTAAGCATGTGATTCAGAGTTGTTCTATGGCTCAAGCGTATTTCTATGGAACTCTTTTCTGGACTTAATTTATTATATGATATCTCAAAACTGTTTATTTAGTCTTTTTTATATTTGCAAAGCCATCTTATACCTACTAGCTCATTCAGCTCTCTCATAATTTCTAAGGAAGTGCATTTATGGGCGAGAAAATTGAGCAGGGAATGAGAAAGTGATTTCTTCAAAGACAAACTTCTCATATTAAAGTTGACAAGAACGCAACTCTCTTGACTTTATGTGATGCCTGTCCTGCACAGTGATAAACGAGGACAGTATTCTGGTTCCACGAAATACTGGCGTGTGACCTAGGCAAGCTCTGGGTTCCTTATCTGTAGAAAGGGAGTAATGATCACTTCTACCTCAGTACTAGTGAAGCACGTGCAAGCTGTGGACTCATCCTAGGCCCTGTTGCTCCACAGCCATACACTGCTTCCCTTACGTGAAGAAGCGGATCCCCGTCATGTACCAGCATCACACGGACCTGAACCCCATCGAGGTGGCCATTGACGAGATGAGTAAGAAGGTGGCCGAGCTCCGGCAGCTGTGCTCCTCGGCCGAAGTGGACATGATCAAACTGCAGCTCAAACTCCAGGGCAGTGTGAGCGTCCAGGTGAGCCGGGTGCCGGACCAAGCAAACCACAGGGCAACAGAGAACAGGTCCTTAGACCACGGGAAATTTTAGGTCGTTCACACCAGCAAGGTCCAGTGTAGATCCCTGCCTTTATCAGGTGATCCCCGTTACCTCCCTTCAATATTTGTGCAGTTTCTCCTGATACCAGAGGGGCGGTAGCCTTGGGGCTACGAGAGTGTCATTCTCACCAAGTTGTCTGCCAGGGGTAGGAGATGGCTCTCCATACAACCTGGTTTTTCAATAATTTGAGGAATTCTGGGTGCCTAATTGGAAGCATAAAGACTCTTTTAAATATAAAGGAAGTGTGGATAGCTATAGGTTTTCTTATAAAACTATTGTTTTCTGGTTTCTATGAAAATTGCACCTGAAAAAATACATTAAGTTTCACTCTCTAATGTTATCTTTTTTTTTTTTTTTTTTTTTTTTTTTCTTTTTTCCTTGCGTTATGCGGGCCTCTCACTGTTGTGGCCTCTCCCATTTGCGGAGCACAGGCTCCGGACGCGCAGGCTCAGTGGCCATGGCTCACGGGCCCAGCCGCTCCGCGGCATGTGGGATCTTCCCGAAACGGGGCACGAACCCGCGTCTCCTGCATCGGCAGGCGGACTCTCAAGCACTGCGCCACCAGGGAAGCCCTAATGTTATCTTTTATTAACAAAATTATTCATTTTAATATAGCCCAGCTAATCAGTTTTTCCTTTATTTGTGTGTCCTCTTTAAGAAATCTGTGTCAGAGTTATTCTGTTTTCTTTGTTTTAGATTCCTGTGTAGGTGTGCAATCTATCTGAATTGGCTTTTGTATGTGGTAGCATATAGGGGTCAAGACATTTTTTTTCCTATAGCTGTTCAAGTGATGTGTACCATTTATGGACAAAGTCGTCCTGGATCTAGGTGCTGATTACACGAATGTGTTCAGTTTGTGAAAATTTATCAAGCTAAACACTTATGATATATGCACCTTTATGTTTGTGTAGTGCACTTCAATCATAGGGGGTTTTTTTCAGGTATTTTACGTATATGATTTCCTAAGAAATTAGTAGATGTTAAATCACTCCCTCCAGGGACTAGCATGCTTCTTGCTTTATTGATGTTTTTAAATGTATACAAATAATTCTGGCATCTGCTTTATGTATATGTATATATTCCCATATCCAATTATTTTCTCTTTCTGGAAGGGTGTGTTTATGAAAGTTACATATAGACTGTAATACAATGGTTTCATTTCCTGAAGTCAGTTTTTGTCAGCTTTTTATCAGGTCCACGCTGAGCTGTTACCTAACATTTTTCTAAATGTCTGTCATTCACTGCAAAAGTTTTCACAGATGTTTTCGGCCTCTTCCCTTATGGCCCAAAAGACTAATGTGCCAAAATAAGTTATCAAGCGAATATGATAAATATTCCAGCCACATGATTGATTAGATAATGGGCCAGAGGCCAAAATTTTCTGCAGCTTAAAACAAAACCTGGCCTGGGAACATCCAGCCTCTATCTAAGGCCAGTGGAAGAGTGTGTGTGCCAGTAAGGGATGGGGCTGGACAGGTCTAGCCTTCTAAAGGGCAAAATGTTCCCTGCCATTTGATAGTGACCTTGAGGGGGTTTTTTTGTTTGTTTTTTTTATTTTTTATACAGCAGGTTCTTATTAGTTATCTATTTTATGCATATTAGTGTATACATGTCAATCCCAATCTCCCAATTCATCCCACCACCACCACCACCCACCCCACTTTCCCCACTTGGTGTCCGTACATTTGTTCTCTACATCTGTGTCTCTTATTTCTGCCCTGCAAACCAGTTCATCTGTACCATTTTTCTAGATTCCACATATATGTGTTAATATACGGTATTTGTTTTTCTCTTTCTGACTTACTTCACTCCGTATGACAGTCTCTAGGAGTGACCTTAGCGTTGTATAAATGCCCCATCATCTTTAAAAGCAAAGAATTCCATGATGAAATGAGGAGATTAAGTTTATACACATGCACCCTCCAGGGTAACAACAAAGCTGGAGTCAGGGGAAATGAACTTTATTGTTTTATTTGTGTGTTTCCTTCATTCTTCCACCAAGAGCCTCTGGGGTTCCTGTTGTACAGGACAGAGCCATCAGGTGGCTCCGTGATTCTGTACTCCACTCCAAGATCTTGTTATGCTGGACTTCATGAAGTCTCATCAGCTTCCCTTCTGCATCTTCTTAAAACTGAACACGTGTATCGTTTTGGATAATCCTTCATTTGGGTTACCTTTAGGTTGTTAACATAGCTCTCCCCACATATCCAGTAATCATATCCAGTCATCAAAAAGGGTTAGCTAGTTGTCCCTGTCTCAGAGGGCCCCACCTCTAATGTCTGTGCCCCCCGTCTCCCCACCTCTGGTGTGAATTCTCTCGGCTCAGTTACTGTGCAAGTCCTGTACAGTGTGGACCAGGACCACGGCCCGTCCCCTTCACCGACAGCCACAGATGAGGCAGACAGCCCTCCCTACTTACCTTCCAAGTCCACCAAACCTCCCAGGAAAAATCATGCACTAATCACATGGTCAGGAGCTTTCCCAAGATGTCTCAGGTGCCTGGAACTTTGTCCTTCCCATCCAGTGTGTCTAACCTTCTTTCTCTCAACGCTCCCACGATTCCTGACTTACCCAACCTCAGCGAACTCTTCTTGGTGAATTAAAGGAGACATGCAGGGCTCTGGTTCACTTATCCTGTTGCTAAATGCCCCGAATCTTTGTCTTTCCAGCCCACCTGAATGGTTAGTTCATTTGAGGATAGCAGATCAGCTTGCGCATGGCTATCTACACAATTCCATGAGGTGAACAGTTGGTTTTTTAAAACTGGCTCATGTGCTTAACTTTTCAGTTTTCATTGCACTCACCAGATTGACCTCTTAGTTCAGGGTCATGTAGCACAAATACCAGTTGGAAGACTTGGGCTCTGATCTCAGGTGTTTTGCTTATTGGCTGTTCGACCTTGAACGGGTCCTTAAGTTTTCCAAGCATTGGTTCTTCCTACATAAAATGAACCATCATCACAAGTGCCCTAAGGATGGCTGAGATGATAAAATCAAATCGCTTATAACATCATGAGCTTTATTCATGGTTTCCTCTTTGGTGTCCTAAGTTCCTGGAGGGCAGAGGCCATGACTAACTCACTCAAGCAGCATTTTTAGCAAGTGCCAACTGAAACTAAATTAATGATAATTGGTATTTTCTTCATAACGTAATTTAAGATCCTTGTTCTTTATCTAGGTCAATGCTGGTCCACTAGCATATGCCCGAGCTTTCTTAGACGACACAAACACAAAAAGATATCCTGACAATAAAGTGAAGTTGCTTAAAGAAGTTTTCAGGTAAAGCACACGGGAAATGTCTCTTTTTCTTCAAGTATTGATCATTTCTGTGCTCACTCAAGAAAGAGATCCTACCAGTTGGACTCATCCTTTGTTCTGTACATGCCTTGATTTCCCTCTCTCGCACCATTCCAGGCAGTTTGTGGAAGCTTGCGGTCAAGCCTTAGCGGTAAATGAACGGCTGATCAAAGAGGACCAGTTAGAGTATCAGGAGGAGATGAAGGCCAACTACAGGGAAATGACAAAAGAGCTTTCTGAAATCATGCGTGAGCGGGTAGGTGCCACTCTGGAGTGCTTCTCATTTTTAGGGAGCACACATCAGCTGGGGTCTCAAGTGCCCCCGATGATAGCCTAAACCCTCCAACATCCTTCCAGAATTTTGCTATCTGGAGGATAGTGTAGCGTGCGGCACTGCCGCTACTACCTAACCATGGGTACCTGGGGAGCAGCTAACGTTGTGCTCACCCGTCATTGTCTAATATGACCAGAGGAGACCAGCACCCTCCTCCTCTTTATCACTTAATCTAGCTCAGAAACACCTCACATCAAAAACATATACCAGTACCATTCCTGGAAGCTTCTTTATTCACCCAGTCCTTTGGAAGAACAGGGTTTACCAGCCTGGTTTAAGGAACTCTCTGTTGTAGTAAGTGTCTTTCACCATTTAAAGAGATAGGGTCGTTCAGTTTTCTACTGTTTACAGCTGACCTGGGTGCCCTCGTGGGTTCCTCAAGGCTACTTCTTTATTCCTTGTCATTGTGGGCAGCTTTCCTGATTACACTGCTACTATCGTCTTCCTGTATGAATTCCTTTTGGTAGGATTACATATGTGGGCTCAGTGGTCATCAGGGGGGACAGCTGCCCAGGGAACTGAGTGAATCTCAGAGGCCATCTCCTATTGCTTCTTGAGGGGTCTGTTCTTCATCAACCACAGCGACTTCTTCTGAGTCACGGACTCAGTCTTTATGATTAGTGTGGGCACCTTGATAGCACATGACTGCTTCTGTCTGTTCCCTACGGTACTGTCTTTCATTCTCACAAAATGGAAGCCAAGACCATTTGTGTCAGTTAACTTACCATGTGATGATTTAGTGAGAGGGATTCTGTTGTAGGAAACTAACTTAAATGTCTAAGCTTTAACTTGCTTTTTTTTCTCCTCCATGCTCACACGTTCAGATGGGATGGTAATGTCATTTTTAAATTTTATTTCTCTGGATCTTGATAACTGGCTCACATAAAGTTATTACTGAGTTTGGGCAACTGCAGACATTGACGTAATGGCCATGCACGTGCAAAAAGAAGCCCTCTTCTGGGCATTTAGAAAAGTAGGAAAACAAAATTGAATGAACATGTGAATCGTTAAGCAGGAAGAGAGGGTCTCATGGGAACAAGTTTTTGGAGAAAGCTCAAGGTCTTTTCCATGGGGCCTCCAGACAGGATGGAGAGCTTGATCAGTGGGTGCCAGCACTTGGCACTAGAAAAGATGAAAGTAGGAGGAAAATTGTGGGCTGAGAATATTAAAATAAACTTCCAGATTGTATGGACACCATGCCATGCCGTGCTCTAAACTACACCTTGAACTTTCCACTATCTCAACAACTATGAAGATTAAGCTTTGAACCCTTGAGCAAAAAGAGTCATGACCTGGAGTAGACTTGCTTTTGGATTTTCCGGGGGAGCCTCTGAGTGTGTGTGTTCTTCTCAGTTTCCACCTGGCAATAGCCCAAGTCTTGCACTTAGAATTCTTCCCTGCATTACTGAGCGTGAAAGAGACTTGATCAGGGTCAGCGAGGCAGCCACTCTCTTGCTCCCAGGATAGAAATCTGTAAGACCCTAAGAGAAGGAGCTGGTAGAGAACACCGATGCTCCAGATTCAATTAAAAAAGACTTTTCCAGGGGACAAGGCCAGGTCGTGTCCCCATCAAGTATGTGTAGGATAGGCCTCAAGGTGCCTTCTAACCTGGTGAGGTTAGAAGACTCTCTACTCACTAGCCTGGAAAGGAGACAAAACATGTTGTTCTTGACTTTCTCCTTAAAATCCTGATCTGAAAAACGCCATGTGTGAGGTGAGCTAACACGCTCCCTCTGCAAACCGCCAAAGCCAAGCTCTCTGAGGGCACCACCACTCACAGTAACAGTGGCCACTGGATGGTAAATGTGAGACGTGTCATTTGGAGCAGTTTACGCTTGCGTAACCTTGTGTTTCTGTGCCTCGAGATTTGCCCCCTGGAGGAGAAGCCCAGCGTTTTGCCGAATTCCCTTCACATCTTCAACGCCATCAGTGGGACCCCAACAAGCACGCTGGTTCACGGCATGACCAGCTCGTCCTCCGTGGTGTGACTTCATCTCGTGGACCGCGTGTGGGGACTTGCTTTGTCATTTGCAAACTCGGGATGATCTCCAAAGCTACTCACTGGGCACGTGCAAGACCCGGGGAGGCGGAGCCCGAGGAGAACGCGCGAGAAGGGAGAGAAAGAGCCGCGTTATTTCATAGCAGATGTTCTGCAGGGTCGTAGGAGAGCACACATATTTTTTTAAACCTTGCTGGCAATAGTCAACATTTTCATTATGTCTTGACAGAGGTATGTGGCAGACACTCTTAAGCTGGAGTTAAATTTTATTCTTCCTTACAGAGTAGTAGTAAAAGTAAACGGCCTGGAGAAAACACGTATTCTGGAATGTACATAGCACTGAAATCGAGGCTGGGGTAACAACCTTTTGCCTCTAGGCTAAGCTGGAAAATCTTGAAAATATTTTTTTTTTCCTGTGGCACATTCAGGTTGAATACAAGAACTATTTTTGTGACTAGTTTTTGATGACCTAAGGGAACTGACCATTGTAGTTTTTGTACCAGTGAACCCGGAGGTGTAGTGCTTTTATACTCATTTACTTGCATTTAAAAAATATGAAAGCTTAAGAAACTATGTGAGCTTAAGACTAGTCAAGCAGTTTAGAACCAAAGGCCTGTATTAATAAACACAACTATGCTAAACATTTAAAGTAGTACAGTATACTGTTATGTACATAGAGTTTGTTAATACAGTCTTGGCACTGTGTACATACACGTATGACATTTCTACATTTTTAATACTCACATCAGCTTCCGCATAAAGTTTAATTGTGGCAGATTTGTGTTGTTCTTAGTATATGCAACACACTTGACCTTACTGTTTTATTCTTGTACATAAAAAAAGTGCAATATGGAGATGTATACAGTCTTTGCTACGTTAGGTTTCTAAACTGTTTTAAAAATTTCATCCTTTTGCCAAAATGGTGGAGTATGTCATTGGTAAATCATAAATCCTGTGGTGAATAGTGGTGTAATGTAAAGCTTTCACCATGTTATATTTTCTTTTCAGACATTAATTTAGTAATTTTATATTTGGGAAAAATAAAGGTTTTTAATTTTATTTAACTAGAATCTCTGCCCTGCTGTAATTAAACATTCTGTAGCACAGCTGTATTAAAAATAACATTGCTGATTTTCCAGTAGTGAGTATTGGGTATTTATTGTCTGACAGTCCTAAGAGGGGCAGGATATTGAAATATTTGGGGGTGAAATAATGTGGTAAAAGAAATTTGCTTTAAAATACCTAAGGGGGACAAAAAGAGGGTAGGTAGATGACAAATGTCGGTAATTGTGGAAGCTGAGGCTGGGTACGTGGGCATCATTATACCCGTTTCTCTGCCTTTGTGCAAAGTTTCCATGGTACAGATATCAAGAGGCAGGGCTAGGGGCCAGATCTTCCAGGGGATGTGGATAAATGCTTTGCCACACTGCAGTCTGGCTCTGAATTCTACTGGTTGTTCCCAAGTATACATAGACAAGTTAATACTTCTGTCTTTTCCTCTTCAACTCTACCAAGGTCTCCATCTTTATCATCTCCCTGCTTGCTTTGAAGGTGAGTACTCTGGGATAAGGTGGTCATTTATCCCAGCAATGCATCAGTGGCCAGGTGTGCCCACACTGCCTGTGCCCTACATCATCATAAACGCTGAAGCCGAGTCAAGTGACGCCTCAGACTGCAGGTGCTGGTCCTGCCTGTGGTGTGCCCAGGGACCCAGCGGAGGAGCCACTCAGCCCCAGAGTTCCAGTGATGGAAGAAAGAGGAGTCTTTCACAAGAAATAAAATAGCTGGTTTTCCTACTTGCAGGGTTTTGGAGGCTGTCTTTTTTCATAACCAGTTGAGGAAGGAAATCATGATGCTGTGTACATCCTGAGCACCCAGATGCCAAGGATCTTATGGTGTCTTTTGGAACTTCTCTATCAGTGGGCAAGGCTGTATTTTACAGATGGCGACAAGGTCATGAAGAAGAGATGTGAGGAGTTATGACAACTCACCAGGCTGCAGCCCATTCATTAGTGGATCCAGACTTAGGGCTTGAGAAGATTCTCTGCGTTTGCCCTGAGTCTCTGACATGTCTGCCCCATGTAATAAACCTTGACTCTCCCTAACACCAGCAGGGAGAGGTATAAGAGTTTGTCTCCCTTGTCGCCAAGCTGGATTTCCTGGTCACAAATGCCTAATTTAGAAGCCATAAAATGCAAGTCATCGTGCAGTAAGATAAACACATCTAGAAAGAGCTAACTTGCTATCTTGTGGTTAAACTTGGAAAGTAGTTTGTACAGATTTCATGTGAGATAAGATTCAGCTTGGAAGGTGGCCAACCCTCACTAATTACAACAGTGGAGAAAGGAACCATCTCTAAGATGAAGACATCTATTGACCCTGCACTGAAACACATTCACATCAATTAAAAACCTCATTTAGTTTACGCATAAAATTTTAATTTTGGTATAAAGTTACACATTAAAGTAGCAGTTGATTGGGGAAAATTGTGTTTTTTAACATTAAGAAATCTTTATTGCTAACTTTCAATAAATTTTTAAATGTTTTCCATAGATCTTATTTATTCTTTTTTTTTAATTGAGGTAAAATATACATGACATGAAATTTACCATTTTAACCATTTTTAAGTGTACAGTTCGGTGGCATTAAGCACATTCTTATTGTTGTGCAACCATCACCACCATTTATCTACAGAACTTCTTCATATTCCCAAACAAAAACTCCGTACTCATTAAAAAAGAACTCCCTATTCCCCCTTTGGGAAAATTCTTTGAAGTAACTTTGGAATTAAAACACTGTTCAGTACTTTATCAGGGATATTTGCCACCTGGGAACTAACTAACTCTAGGTAGTATACATAAATAAAGTCAGCCCCTTGCATGGAGAAAGCTGTTGAGAGTAGGGATGCGAAATTAAAAGGTGACTTATGTAATAATCATTGGGATTTACATAACCCTATGTCAGAGTTACTTAGTGTAGAAACTCTGTTCCAAAACATATTGATTTCCATCAAGAGGGGATTGTTTGCATAAACTATTGTACATCTACACAGTGACTCCACTGTGTAGCTATAAAAAGGGATTAGTATCTCTGTTTACTGCTTTGGAGTGATCTTCAAGATACCATAGGTACAAAACACAAGACAGAGAAAAGTGCAAATAGTGTGCTACTCATTAAGAAAGGAGGGATAAGTAAGCAGAGATCATTGTTTTTTTTTTAGATGGAAGGGAAAAATCAAAAAAGAAAAGTTTTAAGTTATTACCTATATGGGGAGAGAGGGAATAATACATAGGGGACAGAGTTAGAAGATTAACCTGTTCAAATATAATTTGCTTCATAGATTTGGCCCTAGAACCATGTGAATATTTACAGAATTATTAAAATAAATTTTTGATTCCTAAGAATTGAAAGCAAAATGAAATAAACATAGCCACATATACAGTTGATGACACAAATACATAGGAATTATTTCAAATGACTTTAAAATACAGGAATTTCACTGTGCATCTCTAGTGACATGTACCCTAAGGACAAAAATAGTAGCAACAAATAAATAAATGATCGGTTAATAAACACAAAACATTTTCAATAATTGTTTTGTGGAAGTGGTGTTTTGTTTCTGTGAGATCATATTGTCATTCTGAGACTGTTGTGTGTTTACTGTTGGAGAAAGTAAATGAGTGATTATGTGGATATCATTAGGAACCAAGTTTTTGGCATGGGAGAAAAAGAAGTTACACCTATAAGACAAAAATAGGTTAAATTAAAACCCTTTAGTTCTGAATTTGATATGGAGATATGAATTTGAACTCATCATATATTTGTCTTAAATACACACTTATTTCCTCACTTGGTTAACTGAAAAGACTTAAAAACAATGACCAAGCCAGTAGCTAATTAGCACCTCTAAGTGCCCAAATTGTGGTCTCTAAATACCTTTCTGACCAAAACTATCCAGGCTCCATGGAGAATGGCTGATTCTAGATTTAGGGCAGAAAATGTCCAAGGTGAGTCTGGAGCGTCTTCTCATACCTGACTTCTGTGGGACTGGCAGACACCACAGACCCTGTCAAAAGAATTTCAAGAAGCTCCTTCTAGGTAGATATGGGATGAACATAAACAAGAATAATAATAGCAGTGGGTTAAAATTATATAATTAAGTTCATGATGGTACTAGAAAAATAAAGACTGGCAACTATTGAAGGAGCTAATATTACCAAGAAAGACAAAGAGGTGATACATGCCTCAGGATGGAAGTACACACCACCATCTATGACGGAGTCTTGCCAAAAACTGTAACCTGAATCTGATCAAGTCTGTAAATCTAACCACCAATTCCCTGGGAAATACAGGACACAGAGGAACATGTTAAGTGACACCACGGGGAATGCAATCAGCAAAATCCAGTTCTGTGGGAAGCTCTGTAGAACAAACGATCTGATTTCTTCAATAAATTTCAAGAAAAAAGAGATGGAGTGGGCACTTATATGTTAAAAGAAATTCAAGGTTCTCTTGATACGGTATATCTACTATGTAAAGTAGATAAACTTTTCCCTATCCCTTCCACTAAATACAACTAAAATCCCTGGACATTATACATTAAAAAACAAACAAACATAAGAAGACTCGAAGGTAAAGTGAAGGAAGCAGACCAGCCAGCAACATTGGGACCCAAAGAATGATAACAGTGGTAAGCCCCCCAGTTTTTCTGTTTTTTTTTTTAAATTTTGTTCAAGGCCTTTTTTTTGTCTTTTTTTTTAATGTTTATTTATTTATTTAGGCTGCGTTGGATCTTCGTTGCTTCATGTGGACTTTCTGTAGTTGCGGCGAGCAGGGGCTACTCTGTTGCGGTGCACAGGCTTCTCATTGCTGTGGCTTCTCGTTGCGGAGCACGGGCTCTAGGCACGCAGGCTTCAGTAGTTGTGGCACACGGGCTCAGTAGTTGTGGCTCATGGGCTCTAGAGTGCAGGCTCAGTAGTTGTGGTGCAT